TTGTAAGCTCAACACCAAAAACCCCACAAACATTCCAATTAAACAATAAGAAAAGGACCTGAATAGATATTTCTCCTCCAAAGAGGACATACAGATGGCCAGTAGACATATGAAAAGATGCTCAGTGTCACTAATCACCAGAGAAATACAAATTTAAACCATTATGAGATATCACCTCACAACTGTCAGAATGGCTATCATTAATAAATCAACAAACACCAACCTTCATTGGTGAGGATGTGGAGAAAGGGGAACCCTTTAGAATTGTTTGTGGGAATGCAGACTGATGCAGCCACTGTGGAAAGCAGTATGCAGATTACTCAGAAATTAAAAAAATGAATTTGTCTTTTGACCCAGTGATCCATCTCACTTCTGGGAATATATCCATAAGAGCCCAAGACACAAATTCAAAAGAACATAAGCACCCCTATGTACATGGAAGCATTATTTACAATCGCCAAGATACGAAAGCAACCCAAAGATCCATCAATAGATGAATGGATAAAACAGCTATGGGACATTTACACAATGGAATACTACTCAGCTATGAAAAAGAAGAAAATTTTACTCTTTGTGACAGTACGGATGGACCTGGAGAACATGACACTAAGTGAAATAAGCCAGTCAAAGAAAGACACATACCACACGATTGTACTCATATGTGGAATCTAAAGAATTAAACTAACAAGAAAATAGAGATAAGCTCATAGATAGAGAGCTGTATGATAGCTAAGGCTGAGATTAAATTAGCAGGGTGGAGGGACTGAGCAGGGAGGAAAAAGAATTCATGGACATGGACAACAGTGTGGCAATTGTGTGTGGGGGAGTACTGTAGGGGTACTAAAGGGTAAGAGGGAGGGACTTCCACCAAGATGGAGGCATAGGTGGACAGCCGTGCTTTCTCACACAACCAAGTTTAGAGACAACAAAATATTAGCAACAGAAAACACAGCCAGAACACAGAAAATCAAACTTTTCGGAAATCTGATAACAACGAATTCTTCAGCCTGACCAGTAAGAGGGGCAAAGCCAGCAGCTGGCAGAGCGGGGTTGCACAAAAAAACTCAGTCAGACGGACCCAGGTGTGCAGATCCCAGGCATGGGGTTGCAATGGGCGGACCCAGTGAGCGACCCAGTGAGCTACCGGGGGACCCAGTGAGGACGCAGGGCCGGGGGTTGACTGTGGTCATTCATTCATGTGCAGATAGACCAGCGAGGGAGTGGGCGGTGGGACCGAGCAGGCCCCAGCGGCGAGAGACAGCAGAGGGGCCGCTATTTCCCCGCTCTGACCCTGCCCCCACAAAGAGCATCACAACCCAGAGACCTGGGCCGCCCCACCCTGGTGAACACCTAAGGCTCTGCTCCTCATACTTAACAGGCGCAAACAGACCAAAAATGGCTCAAGAAGATCTCAAAGCCCCAGAGCCCATAACTCTAAGTGACGAAGAAATAGCCAACCTATCAGATGCACAGTTCAAAACACTGGTGATCAGGATGCTCACAGAACTCGTTGATTTTAGTCACAAATTAAAGGAACATATGAAAGCTAAACTAATTAAAATGAAAGGAATTGCACAGGAAACCAATAGTGATGAAAAGGAAACTGGGACTCAAATCAAGGGAGTGGACCAGAAGGAAGAAAAAATGACCAAACAGAAAAGAATGAAGAAGCAAGAATTCAGAAAAATGAGGAGAGGCTTAGGAACCTCCAGGACATCTTTAAATGCTCCAACATCCGAATTATAGGGGTACCAGAAGGGGGAAAGGAACAGCCAACAGTGGAAAACTTATTTGAACAAATAATAAAGGAGAATTTCCCCAATCTGGCAAAGGCAATAGACTTCCAGAAAATCCAGGAAGCTCAGAGAGTCCCAAAGAAGTTGGACCGAAGAAGGAACACACCAAGGCACATCATCATTACATTAGCCAAGATTAAAATGAAAGAGAGAATCCTGGAAGCAGCAAGAGATAAGGGGACAGTCACCTACAAAGGAGTTCCCATCAGACCGTCAGCTGATTTCTCAAAAGAGACCTTACAGGCAACAAGGGGCTGGAAAGAAGTATTTCAAGTCATGAAATCTAAAGACCTACATCCAAGATTGATCTATCCAGCAAAGCTTTCATTTAGAATGGAAGGGAAGATAAAGTGCTTCTCAGATAAGATCAAATTCAAGGAGTTCATCATCACCAAGCCCTTATTATAGGAAATGCTAAAGGGACTTATCTAAGAAAAAGAAGTTAAAGAAACATGAACAGTGAAAGGACAGCAAACTCACAGTTATTAACAACCACACCTAAAACGAAAGCAAACTAAAAGGACAACTAGATCAGGAGCAGAAACATAGAAATGAAGATCTCATGGAGGGTTAGCAACAGGGGAGTGGGAGAAGGAGAAGGGGGGAGAAGGTACAGAAAATAAATAGCATAAGCGGTAGGTAGAAAATAGATAGGGGGGCAAGAATAGTACGGGAAATATAGAATCTAAAGAACTTGATTTTGAGGAAAGAAGGAGAAAGATAAAAAATGTACTTGAAAAGTAACTAAATAAAATTTAATATTAAAAAAAAAAGAACTTGAGACACATGGTCATAAACTAAAGGGGAGAATGGTGGGGGTGGGGAGGTGCAGGGTGGAGGCGAATGAAGGGGGGGAACAAAACAACTGTAATGGCATAAGCAATAACATTTTTAAAAAGGGTAAGGGGGAAATATAATAAAAAATTAAAAGTAGAAATAAATTGGAAAAATTAGTTTAGAATAGATACAGGTAAATTGAACAAAGGAATGCAATGGAGAACTTCTGAACAAACCTCACATAAAAGGTTTTGTATTTATTAGAAGTGGCTTCACAAATCAGAGGGGATAATGTGAAATAAATAGTGTTTGGTAAACTTGACTATCCACATGGAGAAAGACTAATTAGACTCTCAGTTCTGAAACCTGTATTACAGATGAATTAGGGATATAGATGTGAAAAGCAAAATTACAAACTTTTAGAAGAAAACATGAGAGGACATTGTTATCATTTTAGGGCCAAGGAAGGATTTGCTAAATAATATAAATAAGCATAAAACATTAAGGAAAAGATTGGTAAGTTCAAACAAATTAAAACTAACATACATTTTTATGATGACACAACAAAAATGAAGTGAGAAGAGCAAAGAGTAAAAGAAGATATTTGGATGAAATGTGACAGGGTCTACTTTAAGAAGAAGAATATCAAAAACATGAACAATAAAATGGCAATAAATATATATATATCAATAATAAAATCTAAAAAAACAAAATAAATAAAACAGAACTAGACTCTCAGATACAGAGAACATTGTGATGATTGCCATTTGAGAGGGGGGTCAGGGGGATGGGTGAAAAAGGTGAAGGGATTAAGAAGTATAAATTGGTAGTCACAGAAAAGTCATGGGGATGTAAAGCACAGCATAGGGAATAGAGTAGTCAGAGAACATACACATAGGACCCATGGACATGGTCAGTGGTATGTGGATGGCCTGAGGGGGTGGGGGGCTAGGTGGAGGGGGGAAAAGGGGGAAATTTGGGACAACTGTAATAGCATAAACAATAAAATAAAATAAAATAAAAGACATTTGTGATCTTACAACAAAAGATTAGTATCTGGAATACATAAAGAGCTATAGCAAATCAATAAAAGAAAGGCCAACAATTCAATAGAAAATAAGCAAAGGACGTAAAATGGCAAATTATAAGGGAAAAACCTGAACACTTAGTACATGCAGGTGCAAAATCATATAAACTATCAGGGAAATATAAATCAGAAATTAAATACCATTACACATTCATCATATTGGCCAATGAATATCTGCTAACACCAAGTGCCAGTGGAGATATAAACTGATACAAACACTTCAGAAAGCAGTTTGGAAATTTGACTAGAGGTGGAAAAATGTGCACCCCATGTGTCATCAATTTCCACTCTAAAGAAACTCATACATGTTCGCTCAGTGGGGCTCATACAAGGATGTTCCTTGCAGAGGTGTTTGTAACAGCAAAAGCTGAAAACCTGTTTCCAAGTAGGGGAATAGATAAATTGTGGTTTATTCACACAATGTAGTACTTACTATACAGCAGCAGTTTCCAATGACTAAACTTACATATGGGCATTATTTTAAACCAGAACAGTAGTATAATAAAAACATATATAGAATTTATACATATTGAGTGCTTATACATGTTATAAGCACTCAAGGGATGGTTATGTTGAAAGATGGGCCTGGGGCTTGAATTCTGCTAACATTTTATTCTTTAAAGGGAGGGAACCAGGGAAGGAGAAAGGGGTAAAGAGAGAAAGAAAGGGAATCAACCCACACAAAGCAATATGACAAAACAGTAGTATACGAGGGTATATTTAGGCAGGGTGGTGGTTGCACAGGTCTCCATTAAGTTATTTTCTATTTTTGTCTATGAGATGTTTTTAAATTATTTTTTCCTAATTTAAAACTTAAAAATTATCATCGCCACCCTACAAACAAAACAAAACAAAATCCTATCCACTCCAGGTGTCCATGCCATTAAACCACTTTAAGGTTTCTTAAAACTCTCCTTGCCCCTGAAGACTGCACTCGTTTACCCAATGCAGGGCCTTTCACCGAGGCCATCTACTGTGCCTCAGCCGCCTTCTTTACCTTCCTCACATTCTTCACTTTTCAGGGTTGGAACAGGTTAATGTTCACCTTTCTAAAAATCCTGTCACTTTGGCTGAGGGTAGCAGCTTAATCTTGCAACCTCACCCCACTTGCTGAACATTAACCTCTTTTAGTCTCCATCACAAGATGCATTTTCCAATGGATGGAATAGGATTATTTCAGTACATTTTTGCTTGTGGGTTTCAGTGCTGAAGTTTAAATTTCAAGAGAAGAGAGAAAAATGTATTCACAAAATAACATGCGTGGATGTGAAAATAGAGGAAGGCATACAGCATCTTTATAATTTTGGCAATTTGCTGTAGCACATGCAAGTTAAACCTACCTGTAAGATATGTTAATTCAGCAGCACTGCCGAGGCTCAATAAGTCAGCTCCTTGATTCTGACATGAAACATAAGCTTCTTTCCAAGATAGAGCTGCTTGAGTATTAAATTGGTAGCAAATTCCAGTCTGCTCATTCTTTTCCCAGTTATTTTCACAGCCATTTTCTGTTGATAAAAAGATATGCTAGTGATCATAAAGTAAGGGCATGATGTTTTCTATTACTTAGAATGCTTATAAATACTGCAGTTCAATTCACAGACTCAGGATATGCTTAAATCAGGGCTTGTTGCTTGACTAGACCACATTTTGTTCTTTGGTTACAAAAAGAAATTGAAATCACAGGACACCAAATAACTTGGGTGGATTAAAGTTTCTACTCTCTCCTTGTCCACCCTTCCTTTATCCTCTATCAATTACAAGGTCGTATCTTATCCCACACCTGCCCTTGCCTAAAACTAGGAGACTTCAACTGTGCTCACCTTCTTAACCCCCCGAGTTCATGGAAAACAACCTCACTTGAAGATGGTGGCCGACTGCAGAGGGGTGCGCCTATGGCCAGCAGTGAAACCACTGTGTGTGGACGTCTGCAATGCACACATGCTGCTTAAATGCTCGAGATTTAGAGTCCAAGTGACTACATTATTTGGGAAACTCAGTCCAAGTTTCTCCTCAATATTTTAATAGATAATTCAATATGTGATAGATAATTCAATATGTGATAATTCAATATGTGACATATTAATATTATATAATTGCCACATTTATATGTGCATATGTACATATATGTGTGCATGTGTATACAAACATATATGTTCATTATATAATGTATATATTATTTTCTGTAACAAATATTTAAAAATATATATTATTTCAGGGGAAAACTTTCAAGTTATTTGGATGCAATTGGCTCAAAAGTATACTCAGAGATTCCCACGTGCTCTTTACAAGAGGAAAAAAAACCAATGCAGACGCCATTGAGTGTGTCCCAGACTTCACCCTGGGGCTTTCCGAGGGGCCTTTCCGTAACCAGTCACACATATCACATGGCCTTTCAAGCTGGAAGGGTCCTTAGATACCATCTTGGCTAATGTGTAGAGGTGTCTGTGGCAGAGCTATACTGAGAGCTCCAGTCTCCAAATCTGGCCCATTGATCTTCTTAATGGCTGACACTGCTCCTTTGGCCACTTTTGAACGATCTAAATAGCAACGAAGATTGCTATGACATGTGGTGAAAACAAAATAGGTGGATTTATAAGTATACTGCCTAAGGGTTCCTTATTACCACTGAGGCCCTATGCTTATAAATCCAGAAGCTTCCAGTAGAATAGCAGTGTGTTTACATAAAAGAAAATCTCAGTGGTTTAGCAGTGCTTAGATTTTAAAAACTCACAGCCTTGCTTCTTCCTTAAAAATAACTCTGCAAGGAATAGGAATGCATTATAAATCTACCCATTGTGACCCAAAAAAGGCTGCAGGCATCAAGACATGTGCCAGTCAAGGCAGCAAGGCAGAGTGGAATAAAGGTGTTGGGGAATAAGAGCCAGGAATCCTGGGATCTCCAGCAGACTCTATACAAATGGGGTCCGACGCTGACTGGGTTTGCTGCCCCTCACCTGAGCAGTTAGGGCTTGCGCTGGATAACCTCTACACTCCCCTTCACATCTAAGCTTTCTGATCCAGACTATTGGAGTATTTAAACGAAACTGTTGCCCGATTGACCAAACTCTGCTTATCAATGACAGTGAAAGAATATACAGTATTGGTTTTTTATCTTTCAGGTATTCCAGGGGTTTAAAAGCCTGTGCCTCTGCCTAGAAAAGTGATTTTCAAAATGTGGTCCTAAACCAGCATCATTAGCATAATCTGTGAACTCATTAAACTGCAAATTCTTGGGCCTCGCTCTAAATCTATAGAATTACAGTTCACAGTTCTGGAGGTGAGCCACAGAAATCTGTGTTCTAACAAACTCTCCAAGAGATTATGTTGCATCCTGAAGTTTGAGGACCACTGGCTCAATATAAACTCAAGGTGTTCAGAACTCTGCATTTTGAAGCTCAGCTTCCCTCAAAGAGGGATCAGCATTACTAGAACACCAGGTTGACTGCTGAATAAGGTGGAACAGTATATTTGTTTAGGATAGGACCTCAGGGCCAGATTTCCTGGCTTTAAATCTTAGCGCTGAAATTTATTAGCTGTGTGACCTTGGGCAAATAACTTAACTCCTCTGTGCCTCACTTTGCTCATCTGCAAAATGGGGATGTGTGAGGCCTACAGGCATGAATACACTGAGTGCTTAGAGTAGTACCTAACACTTGAAAGGGCCCTGTAAGTATTAAGTATTATTACTTAGGTCTGGAGCTGTTCTCTTTTTCTTTACTACATATTCTTCCAACCTACTGCTCTTTAAAAATAATTCTTAAGTACCTACCACACGTCAGTTACTGTGAGCCCCTGTAACCCTCACCTGATTGGAAAGAAAATCTGTCTGCTATATACCAGATAATGATGCAAACTGCTACTTTGGTGTCTCCCCCACCCTGCCCACCCCACCTCCCTCCTGTAGGAAGTCCATTTTTTCGCACATCCTGAATCATTTGCATCAAGAAGCGATTAGAAAAAATGCTTTGATCAGTATATAGGAATAACAAAGGGAACAATTCACAAATATTAACAGAGTCAGGGATATGTCTCTTTTAGCCCCATTCTTGTGTCTGCCATCCTAAAAGTGTTTCCTCAGCCTACCTCCCCCTCAGAGACTACCTTCTTCCTTCTCTTTTTTTCCCATAAAACTTAAGAGGCTTACTCACCTTCTGTTCACATTTCAGCCCATTATAACTCAGCTTCTATGACCACTAGTCTTTTGAAACTGCTCCATTAAAGGTCAGCAGCAATTTCCTAAGTGCCCAGGCCTTTTCCACTTCTGCTCCCTGAGGTATCTGTGCTAAAGAACAGTCTCTCACTCATCATTTGTCTTCTAGGACACCATCCCATCTTTGTTCTCTTCCCAGGCTACTTCTGAAAGCAGGTTCATGGCCACACATTAGTTCTCCCTCTTTCCTCAAATATATACTCCTATCCTGTCTAGGATAATACTTGTTGCGGCCATTTTTGAATCATTTTGGACTCTTCCTTTTCCCTCTTGCCTCTTGGAAACAATATCCTCTTCTTTCCATACATACAGTTTACTCGCCCATACGTACCTGGGTTTAAGCAGATGCCCCACTTGAGGTCATATTCATAATTTAAGGTGGTTGCACACCATGGCTCATGGTGATCTTTGTCTGTGATACACTCATGGTGCCAGGTCCCAGCGACTAAGAATGGAAATTCACAAGGTCTCCCATACGAGTTCCCATCTCTGGTATATATCTCTGTGGGTTGGGTGGAAATAGAGGAAAGGAGAGTTAACAACTGAGTGATCAGCTTCTAATTTCAGTTAACTAATTTCTAAAACCTTCTTTGAAAGAGAGATAGCTGTTTTCACTTATGAGAATACGGTATTTGGATACGCTCCATGGTGCGGAAATTCAGAGCACAAATGCTGACTGCTCAGGTCTGTGCTTGAATGCTGGCTCCCTCACGGACCAACTGTGTGGCTGTGGACATGAGCACTCAATGAGATAACACACGTAAGATGTCACTTATTGTGATATGATGAACAGCGAAAAACCATGGCTTGATCAAATAAGGATCAGTTAACTACTGTTGGGGAAGTACTCTGCCAACCAAAGGGGTGCCCTGTCTGAGCTTAAATGTACACTCTAACTTCTTTTCATTAGTAAGAGTGGGGTCAGAAAAATTCCTTGGAATCACTGAAGGTGGCTGTGGACTTTGGAACTAACTGCTGAGCCGGTTCCCGTTCTTCACAGACTGGTGGTCGAAGCAAGGCTGAGGGAGTGGGAGGAAGAGCTGCTGGATCTCAGGGTGGGTTTTTGGAGAGTGGAAGGACACGACAGTTCAGATTATGAAAGAAGAACCAGCTCTGACTGGGCAGTCACAGGACCAGCTGGTGACCTGCAAGACCGTGGAACTGGCTTTTCTTTTTCATTTTAATAATTTCCCCTGGAACACGCACAGAGAGGAACTGAAAAATTATTCTAACCTATTCAAAAATTATTTTAAAAATTACTCCAAATATTCCTGGAAATACTAGAGGAAGTGCTCAATATTTATGCTGATAACAAATCTCTTGGATAGGTGTTTTTATAGAACAGCTAACTCTATAACTAATTGGGCCACTTTTTACCCACATCTATTAAACTATTGTTTAAAACTATGGTCATTACGAGATTAAATAATGACTATTTAGATCTAATAACCCTTTACCAGGCTATTAGGGTCCCTCAGAATGTCTCATATATTTGCATAAAAGTGTACTTAGATAGTATTCGATTCAACATCCTTTATTATTCTCAAATGTTTATCTGAAGCATAAGACTTAACAGTTTAGAATGTATTAAGCAGCAATGTACCCAAAAGTAAAAATAATTTAGATGTTTTTATTTGCAAAAAAAATTTTTAAGGAACATTGGTATTGTTTTCCCTTAGCATATTAATGGTTCTGAATATGGTATTTCTGTTAAAGAGTAAATTGTCCTTATATTTTTATAAGGATCCTGCTTATTACCTAATTTTCGTTTTCAGCCATACCCAGATTCCCAAAAGTTCATGACCAATTTCTCTTCTTATATCACAACACTTAATAGAAGAGAGTCTCTGAGCATTGGGACTATTACTTTGAGAAACATCAGGGTTTCCTCCCCCACCCCAAATTCTTGTGTTTCTCATACAAAGTGCTTCCACATACATCTCTTGCACTTGCTCTATACTGTAAGCCTCTGAGTTCAGCCTCTGCTGCACTGGTTTGTGAAATCCCCAGTTTACCAGGAGTTAAGTGGATCTTCCAGTCACTCAGCTGACAGTGACAGGAACGGGCTCTTTGATTAGAGTCCTTAACATATTTAAGATTCTTGTGAACTCGATGGCTGCCTTCTCAGGCTTTTCCGAGAAGAATCTTCTCTGAGTGTGTGGACTTATGAGGATACCGCCTTTAAAAAAGATGAGACACTGACATGGAAAACTAATATAACATTTTTAGGTAGTATTAGACAAAATATATTCAGTGCTTAAAAAAAATGGCAGGCTTCTGAACTGTTTGAAATCCAGAGAGCTCTCTAGCCGTGACTCCACTAAAAGTCCATTTCCTCTGCATAATTCACCAAATGTTCAAAATGTGAAGAGGGCTAGCAAGGCCAAGATACCTTAATGAAATAATGCATGTCTGGATGCTAGTCAAAGCAGTTTATGCTTAAAATGTCTACAGCTAAACTTTTCTCTGATGAACATAACTCACACGGGATGGGGTTTGGGGAGAAGAGCAACCCAGAACACAATGGCAAATAAATGTTCTTATATTAGAAGTAAAATGAAATTATATAGCAAAAGCCATGTCAGAAATAAAGTAGCTATACTTGGGGAACACAATTCTGGTTTTGAGCTGTGGCTTTGCTTTGTGGTAACAAGCTTAGTAACCTTGGACTTCACTTTGCTTTGACTCGGGTATCTTATCTTTCTTGTCTCTATGTAGTTAGAGATGAAGAGGGGGCAGAGTCCGGTGTGGGAAGTCTGCGAGAGCAGTTCCCAAGAAAGTCCCTAACCTAACGACAGGCAGGGACTACATACATTTAAAAGAGTACAGTTTCCAGGACTTAACATTTGACTGAACTTGAATGGTGGGAGAGGGAATCAGGACAACTCTAGGGTGACTTATACATTTCTGACACGTGTGACTTGGATGGTGCCAGTCACCCAGAGAGGAATGGAAAGGAAGGGCAGGTTTGGCCCTGACCTCTGTGCAAGTTAAGTCCCGAGGAATGTATTGACAAGTCAGAACTACACGTGCCTTCTCTAAGAAATCTCTAAGTCTCTTATTTTGAAATATAGTGTTCCAAATATTGTATTTGGTAAGGTCAAGAAAACTTTATGCCTGTTTGACCCTCTCGGGGGGTGGTGCTCTAGGTGGGTTCTTAACCTTTGGGGGGCCACTGATTACTTTGGCAGCTGTGAGAAGTGCTCAGGCCCCCTTCTCAGAAGAATATTATAAATGCACAAAATGAAACACACTGGATTACGAAGAAAACCAGTTATATTGAAATGGAGACATTTGGGGGACTGAACGGACTTATGATTATGATTTTGAGGGGACTATACCCCTCAAAAGAATTAGTGGTAAGAGACAGAAAGAGCCCTGCCAAGAAAATGATCCTTTCTGATCCTTGAACAAATACAATGAAACAAGTCAAGTCCAGTTCAAAAGGTATTTTGTTTGGTTCCACATTTTCTCTTAGTTGCCAAGTTGGAGAAAGGCTCTCCAGCACAAAATTCAAACCTGCCACTGAGTGGTATCAGGAAAGCTTTTTAAGGTTAGGAGGAAGCTGACTAGCAGAAACAGGCCTGTGCAACTACCCCAAATTCGCTAGTATTTCCCTGTAACAGTAGAACCTGACTTCTCAGAGGCAGCTGCATCTTCACTAGGAAGTGGAAAGAGGTTAACCCAGACAAAAACCTGTGCGGAGGAGGGGAGGGATGGGAGGCCAGGTTGTGCTTAAATGAGCTTTAAGAGAAGAGGGGAAAGTCTCTGTAAAGCTATGTAAATTCACAAAGAAGAGCAAAGGTGAAATAACAGTTAAGACTCATAAGATAATTAAAGATATATATCTCAAAAACAACAAAAAATATTTATATCTCAATATCTGACATAATTTAGAACAACATAATAAAAAATTTGCTTGTGTAAGAGCTGTTGACATTTAGAGGTTTAAAAAATAAATCTACTCATTCTTTTTAATCTTGGAAATTCCTGATGATCCAGTTTCTAGATTCAGAACAAAGTTCACAATCAACTCACGAAAAGGTAATAATCATGTACTCATTTTTGGAAGCAACTGAGACAAGGTCCAGTTTTAAAATGCAGAATCAATACAAGCACCAAACTGTAATAACTACACCAAAAATAATGATAAGTATGTAAAACCACAGAAGGCTCTAAAACTTTTTCATTACATCAAAATCTGCAGATAAGAAAAAGTGTATGTGCTTTTTTTCTTTTTTCCCCTTCTTTTGTAACTTACAATAGGTTTGATTTTACTGTATCGTTGGACTTTTATACTGTATCGAGGCTTTCCTACCACTCTAATTTTCCCTGGAGTTCAGCATGTAATCAAAGCAAGTATGTAAACATATACCCAGGCATAGGGAGACTTTCAATCCCAGGGTGCCGCAGAATGGCTGTGTGACCTGTGATAGGCATGTACCCTCTCCCGGCCTTGCCTGCAACAGGGGACAAATAGCACGAACCTCACAGGGACAGTTCCGGGTTATTGCCCTGTGCCTGTAACTGAAGCTTGGCTCACTGCCCTTACCAGTATACAACTTCCTGGTCAGTTGTGCATGTTTAATGTCACATTTACCAAATACAGCAGCAAATGCACCAAAGTCCTTCTCCAACACTCACCATGGTAAGGCTGGTCACAGAGGCTTTCCTCGGAGCCTCCTTTCTTCCAGGCATCAGATGAATTTGTACTTGCTATGGCATGTCCATCCTTCAGAGCCAGCCTGGACTGGGCAGCTCCATACAGAGAGTGGCGCTCACATTTCCACCACAGCATGGCACTGGAGTCACAGCTGAACATTCTCAAGGAATCCGTGGGTTTGGTAATATCCAGGCCTAGACACTTCTGGGATTGCAAGTGGAAGAGCCGATGCTGGGACACCCACTTCCACAACATGCCCTGGGTTGTGTCACAATCCATTGCTACTATCCAGTCATTCAGTGGCTTGATGCACTTGCCCGTGTTTTCATTGACGATGGTGAATGGATCATTACCTGAGTCGAGACAGACAAAGAAGACATTTCAGGATTCTGGATGGTGTGGCTGATGTGCCTTGGACCCTGCTCGCTGAGGAGAGTCTGAGCACCGTGGAACAGTCCCTACCCTCCAAGCTCTATAAGCTGAGGTGTACTGCACAGGGTCAGAGGGCAGCAGTGGCCAGAGAGGCAGTACGGTGTGGGGGAAGGAAGAGCCTGGGCTCTGGTGCCCATCTGCCTGGGTTCACAGTCTGCCTCTGCTACCCGTTAGCCACGTGGTCAGGGCAAGTTACATAGCTGCTGTGCCTCAGTTTCTTCCTTTGTAAAAATAGCACTTCATACAGTAGATGTGAGGATAAAATGAGCTCATACATGCACGACACATAGAATGGTAGGTATATGTGTTATTGTTATTCCATGAAAGGTTTCCCCCTTTATTTAACGAGATAAAGAAACTCCTTAGTTTTCATCTCCTTTAGATAGGTGGTCTACAGTCAATGAGAACTGTCCTCAGTCTATCCAGGACCACAATTCTGTCTTGCTTACACTTTACCATGACAGGATAAATTGTTGCATGACATTAACGTGTCTCAGAGGACAGGGGGAGACTCCTGAGGGTTGAGAGGAAACAGAGGTCTGGGTTCTGAAGGTAGGGGGGGGAATCTGTGGCAGACTCCATCATGGCATCTCCAAGAAGGTGACAGGAAACCCCTGGGGAGGGGCTGGGGGTCGGAGGCTTACTGTGTGGGTCACCTGGGGACCCAAACCTGAACTCCAGCAACCACCTGAGCCACAGAATTCAAGACCCAGTAGGTGTGGACAATGGAAAACTCCGAAGTAATCAGTGTGAGTTAAAGGCTAAAGAGAGGAACCTTCCTGAACCTCCCCTTGAACGAGCTGGGAGACTTCAGTAATGACAGACACTGAAGTTCTGGTGGCCTGGTAAAGTGGGACCTCTGAATAAGTTTTAATTTGACGTTATGAAAATAAATTGTTTCTTGCACACCTAAGTTTGTGGAGTAAGAGTCACATCTGCTACAACAAACAACCACCGAACAATTTGATCAGTGCTTTTACAAAGAAAAAATTTCTGAAGTTAGAGCACAGAACTTCACATTGATGAGAGTAAAGCTGACATATTTCAGACAAACTTAAATAACTGTTATCAGTGAACTAAAGTGTTCAGCAGAGGACCCATGAAATTTTAGTTCCCAAAAGGCACTTTCATTCTGATACTAGTTTCACAATCACTGGTTTTACTTACACTAAACACCTTTTCTAATAATAATTCATGGCTTTCAGAGTTAAAACATTTTCATACCAAAGACTTGAGGGAAAGTTGAACTATATAAATAATAACTGTAAAATTAAGGCCAATTCCAGTTTGAACTTTGGACAGAACTTCATGTTTTAAATAGCAGCAGCAGCAGCAGCTGTGACAAGAGAAAACAATAGAAACAACAAATTCCTTTAAAACGTTAAGTTATTTCTGTATTTTAAAATATTGCACAGGGTTGCAGCCAAGGAAGTCCGCCATAGCAGCTTCCGCCCCTCACTCTTTCTTCCTTGACATCACCCTGCCATTCTCTGCTTTGTGGACACAGTTTGGGAAGACAGTAAACAAAAAAAGAAACAGTTCTATCTTAGACGATTATCACTCGCGCTTTCTCCAATGTCCTTCTCCCACACATCAAGTAGCCGCTCAGTCCCAGGATGTGTCTCTTTCCCAAACTATTCTCTCTCGTATCACCAAAATAAACCTTGCATTCCCAGGTATCAGGAATGGCTGAAGAAAAACAAAAGTCTGCTCCTACAGAAAACTGGGTGGCTGCCACCCTTGCTGAAAACTTCCCCTCTTATGTAATCTTTTTTCTCTTTCCTGGGCTCTCAGTTCTGTGGCTGTAACCTCAAACAGGTGAACTGGGCTAGCAGCAGCTTTGCCTACCTTTGCAGTTTGGAATTCTGTATTTTTCAAGTTGCCTTTGCAAAATCCAAAGGATTAGCTATGGCTCTTACTACAGTGGCAGTGCAATGAGTTAGGGGTCCTAGATTAAAGACCTTTCTCTGGGTCTTTGTATTTCCGAATGTAAAATGAAAGCAGTGAAGTGTAAGATATCCAAGCCACTTCCAATTCTAATATCCTACGATTCCACAAGATACTAGTTATCTTAGTCTTGCAGGTTTTAATTGGTCTCTGTTAAGTTCACTGCATTTGTTCTTTAAGAACTTCTTTATTTAAATTATTGGGGCAGCATGGGTTAATGGAGTTATATAAATTTCAATTGCACAATTCTGCGATACATCATCTGTATATTGTGCTGTGTGCTCACCACCCCAAGTCAGGTCTCCTTCCATCGCCGTGTGTCCTTTTCCCCTCTTCCGCCTCCTCCACCTGCTTTCTCCTGTGCAAACACCATACTGTTGTCTGTCTCTGAGAGCATGTTTTTCTTAACCTCTTCACCTTTACCACACAGCCCCCAAATCCCCTCCCCTCTGACAGCTCTCAGCCTGTTTTCTGTATCTATGAATCTGTTTCTATTTTGTTTGTTAATTTTGTTCATTAGATTCCACATATAAGTGAGATCATGTGGTATTGTCTTCCTCTGGCTGCCTTACTTCACTTAGCATAATACTTTCCAGATCTATCCATGGTGTTGCAAAAGGTAAGATTTCCTTCTTTTTCTAAAGCCAAGTAGTATTCCATTGTGTAAATGTACCACAGCTTTTTTTATCCACTTGTCTACTGATGGGCCCTTGGGCTGCTTCCAAATCTTGGCTCTTGTAAATCACACTGCAGCGGACGTGGAAGTGCACACTGCAGATTGCATCACTCTAATGCCAGCACCATTTTGGGTCATTCTGATCCCATCTGTATTGAGCATACTCACTCAGGTAACAATGCTGCTTTATAAACATTCCTTGGAAGAGAAAAAAAATATGTACCCTTTTCTATTTATTCTGCTTTATTCTGAGACCCCTGAAGACTTGACAAGCTGTAGGAACTCTTGCTGAACCCTTGCTGAAAACTTCCCCTCTCATGTAGTCTTATTTCTCCCTTTCCTGGGCTCTCAGTTCTGTGGCTGCAACCTCATACGGGAACGGTGCAGTCACATGGAGTAGTCACGTTAAAGAGGAGTTGCCAGCTTCTTACCTAATTGCAACACCTATGTTTCCAGCTACTTGCCTCATTCTAAACCTGTCTTTTACCTTAGTATGAACATCACTGTTTGACACCTACACTGGTCACTTAGCATAGGCATTAATTATTGATATAATTTAAGGAAAGGTTGTTAGCCTTCACACACAATGCATGTGTAAGCGTTCGTACATAACATCTAAGCTGGGGAGAATCTTGTCCTCTTGTGATGACTTATTATCTTTCCCTCCCCTTAGCAACAGCTATTCAGTCTGCCTTGTCCTGTGACCCTGCTGGGATGGTAGGTTGTAGCACGGGGAGACAAACTGAGAAAGTGTAAAAATAATTTCTTATTTAGAAAATTTGTTAAATAAGGGTATACAAAATATTTCACAAATGCATTATACTTTAAAAATGTAATTATAGAGCAATTTGTAAAACAGATTCTTTATTAATAGGTTTATATAGTATCTTGTTCACTAGACAACTTTATAATGGTACTAACTGGAATTTTATTTATTTTTAAAGATTTTATTTATTTATTTATTTATTTTTAGAGAGGGGGAGGGAGAAAGATGGAGAGAAACATCAATGTGTGATTGTTTCTCACACGCTCCTACTGGGGACCTGGCCTGCTACCCAGGCATGTGCCCTGACTGGGAATCAAACCAGTGACCTTTTGGTTCACAGGCCATCACTCAATCCACTGAGCCACACCAGCCAGGGCCTAAATGGAAGTTTAATGTTTACCTCCAAATATAATATTGGGACAAGTCTAAAAGGCAAGGTTGATAAAAACAAGCCTCACTCCCCCAGTAGCACTTTTTATATGCATAATTTTGTGTAAATATTCTAGTGGTGCTTGAGAGGAAATGGCTAAGTCAGTGTTATCATAAATGAAAATGAATTTTTAGTATCTCCACATCCATCCAAGGAAAACTAGCTCCTATTGTCTCATCATTAAGTAATTCCTATCTTAGGAGACCTAACCCAAAGAGTTTTGCACATTCCAAAGAGAAGTTGGACATCAACATTTTATAACCACAGGCAAACGGAGAGGAAGATTCTCCGGAAGGCCAGAAGAAAAGACTGTGGCATTTTTAATGTCAGGGGAACTTCCACAGCCCACATCGTGGAGCATTTTGTGGAGTCACTACCAGGTGTGCAGAGTGTGAAGGTGCAGCCAGCGACAATTGGAAGTCTGGGTTTACCAGTTCAAAACCAGGCCCTGAAGTGACGGCTGGGTCCATGGCAGTCCACTAGGAGTCAGAAAGTCATGGAGTGCAGACTGACTAGTGTGGGCTGGCGAGAGTCTCAGTCCTTCCTGAGAGATTGGATTACTTCAAGGTGTTAGATCTCCGAGGAGGCAAATAAGTAAACGAAACAACTGGCATTTCTCCAAGAACAACGAGGAGTACCTCAGATGCTACAGGTACTCCTCAAACATCTGAGCAACCAAGACCACCTGCACAAGCCTAGCCGCGTACATGCGATGAGAAACACGCCATTACCAGCATCATGAAGCTGACAGACTGCCAAACAAGCTACCTAAATGGCTGGGGTTTCAAAATTCCAGTGCTTTCTGTGATAAGGCCACAAGTCTGTTCTTAGGGTATGAGAAAGCCAACCAGAGCAGCTGCTGAGAGGGAGGGAGGATGCAGGAAGACAAATATGAGGACCTGGAGTAGGAAGAATGGAGTTAATCCCTTGCTCTTTGTTTTGGGTTGACGAGAGAAGCCAAGGATTGCAGATTGCAAAAGTTAAGGAAATCTTGAATTTTGTGGGGGAGACAAAATACAGATAAGGCTTCAACAGATGTAGATGGAAACCAGGACATTAGTGACTGAAAGGTTAGTGTGTTTGACTGTAGGTTACTTGCTGCGGTAAAAATTTTCCCCATGGATTGTGGGGCAGGCAGAATAGAATTCTTAGGGCAATAAATGACTTTTGGTAGCTTCCAACATGGAGGGTCAAAGGCAGAGCAGGGTCCTTGCTGTAATGGGGCGATGACACTGACACTCAGAGAAACCTCTTCCAAGCACCCTCTGAAAAAAAGCCGAACTCAGACAGTAGCTTATTTTAGCTGCCAATAAAACAAGAGCCACAAGCAATGTGAAGTTTTCAAAAGCTTCCTTGGTCATCTTTTACTTACTCATACATAAGAGATAACAAAAGTGGTGGGTGAGGACTGCTCACTCATTGCACATTGATTTTCAGACAAGGCAAAAAGAGAAAGTAAAAGTAAACTCAGGTCGCTGCCAAAGGGTGCGGGTGAGGCTGGCACTAGCTAGAGCATCCACTAAGGGCTTCGTTCCTGGCCCTGCTTCCGCAGGGAGGGGCTGGAAACTCCCGGGCACTCCACCTGCCTTCCAAAGTGGTGGTCCTTTGGAGATGATAAGCCGATTAGAAGAAAAGGTCGCTGCTTCAGGCATTAGGAGATGATATAACAGAGTAATGGTCATGATTACTTTAGGAGACATGGCTTAACCTGACTTCCTTTTTCACGTGCATTCGTGGGCACAATTAAGTCGGGGGATTATTATCATCATTGTTGGCACAGCGAGTGAAAAGCGCCTCTGGACACTGAGTGGCAGTGGTGACCAAGGGGCAAAGGAGGAGCGAGACAGGCGGGATGAGACGAGAAAGGGGTACTGGAAAGCCCTATTCTCCAGGGAAGCAAGTTAGAGGGGAAAGGATGAGGAAAGGACGGGGGAGAAGGGGCGCAGACAAGACTCGGTGCACCTCGGCTCCCCTCTCCTGGGCTCCTAGTTCTCAGCCCCAGAAAGTCCCCACATTCCCACGCCCCAACCGGCTTTGCCTTCCCCACCCCATCCCCCCTCTTCCCAACCCCTTTCCTCCCCCCACACTGAGGGCAATGGAGCTCCCTACGCCTCTCCGTATGGCGAGGGCAACCGAACACCTTCTCCCTAGACCACTCCTTCGGCTCACTCCTTAGGAAAGCAGACGTGTTCTGACCCTGGAGCTCAGCACTAATCCGAACCGAGGGAAGTCAGCAGATCTAGCAGCTTCGGGGGGCCCCCAGCCGACTGGTGGGCGGACGCACCGCAGTTACCTGTGCGGCCACTGGACTCCGCCAGCTCCAAGGACTGAAGGAGCAGCACGAGGAGCACCGCCACGCGGCGAGGGGTCGCCCAGCGGGTCCCCATTCTGAGCCAGTCCCAGCGGTGCAACTTGCTTCTCGGGCGCAGGCGGAACGCAGCCCTCTGGGTGCGCCCAATCTGCCCCACCGGCGCCTCGGCTTTTAGGCTCCGAGGGCGCTCCAGCTCCTCCCCCAACGCCCTCGACCAATTAGATCACCGCGTCTGGGGTCCGAGGCAGGGCCGGGCGGAGCGGGGTTAGAAGCGGGAAGATGACGCACCTGGAGCTCTGAGCACCTGCCACTAGCAAGACCCTTGAGGAGGCGGGAAGTTATCGCACAGCCAGAGAGCTGAGCCCGGCGCAGACAACCGGGCTTGGGGGTCCTGGGTCCCGCCTCTTCATCAGACAAGCCCAGGAGACGCAACACTTGTGGGGCTTGGTACGGCCCGTGTGGGTAGGTTCCGTCAGTTTAGGGCCTTGTTCTCTGCCCAACGCACCTCTGTCAGGGATGGCTTTTTCATTGCACCGCTGGGTTGGAAAAGCACCCACATCCTCTCCTACCGCCAAGGGGGAAATGTGTATCCTTCCTGGTGCAAATGTTGACAAGCCAAATAATTCATTCGAGCTTGGCAACGTCTTGCATATTTTGATAAAACAAAGAAAGGTGAGGTAATGCACACTGCAGGTGACCCGCAGTTATTACAGCATTGAAAGAAAGCAAGATCCCCAGCCGTTGAGCTCAGTTGATTGGGCATGGTCTCGCAAACCAAAAGGTCTCTGGTTGGATTCTGGATAGAGGCACGTGCCAGGCTTGAGGGCTTGGTCCCCATGGGGGCACATGTGAAAGGCAACCAGGAGATGTAACTCTCGCATAGATATTTCTCTTCCTCTTTCTCCCTCTTTTCCATTCTCTCTAAAATATAAAAATAAAATAAATTAAAAGGAAGAGTTAAAAGCAAGAGCTATTCGAGCGACCCTTCAATGCTTACAACGATGACTTAGGCTTTATAACCATTGGATAATTGCAAGTGAGCTCTTTTAAAAACTAACTTAATAAATAATAATAATAATAATAATAATAATCCATTAGAAATGTGGTACTCTGCACCCAAAACGAGCAATTGTGAGAGCAGGATTTATTCTCTCCCTGTGGAAACTGCCATCATTACAAATGGGGCGACCTAAGCTGCCTGGATATGAAAGGCCTATTATTTTCAAACCCCATGCCTACTGACCATCTGGTGTGGACTGAGGATGACCTCCATCCCTGCCTGGCAAGAGTGAATTGTTTCACAAAGGTGAACAGCTACATTGTCTTTCCTGATTCCAAATGCCGAGGCTTTGCTGATAGCTCCAAACTTACCAAGGCCCTGTCCTTCCTTCAGGTTCCTGCCTTTCAGTTGGGTAGATACTTTGAGCATTTGCCATCACAGGAACTGGGCCCCTCGCAGGTGATAGAGATGAAAAGACAACATCCCTGCCCTCTCAACCTTACTGAGTACTACGGAAGACTGAGAGGCACCCACATTAACTCAGGGCAGACTGAATGGGGAGACTGGACAAAGCTGCCCTCCTTGAAGATTTGAGGAAGCTTTAAGGAAGGCAGTGTCTCAGCTAGGACTTGAAGAATGGGTAATTGGTAGGAGTTTGACCAGGCACAGCTGGTGGGAAACTGTAATGCAGTGTCAGAAGAGAGTAAAGTCCATTGAGGCTGCTCTGCAGGGGATACGTGTGTGGGTGTATGTGGGTTGACAGTAGTCATGGCGGGGGCTCTAAGCAGAAATGACAGCAGAAAGGTGAGTTGTAGCTGTTTTTTGAAGTGCCTTGAATATAATGTAAAGACTTTGATATGATTCTCTAGGAAATGGACAGTGGAAAGTTCTGAGTATGAAACCTTGCTACTGCTCTGATTTCTCTGCAGCCATGGCTGCTTGCCTTTCTGACCCTGCCAAGCCTGGAGCTCCTTGAGGGCAGCTGTCTCATCTTCTTTATTGTCATACCTGAACACTGAGCACCAGGCCTGCCCCAGAGTGAACTCTCAGTAAATATTACATAACTAATGAATTCTTAGAGCTCCTGCCTTAGTGGAGGGGCATATGAGCTCCTGCTTGCATTATATTGCAATAATTTCTCACCTGACCTCACTGCCCATAGCTGTTATTCTCTCAGGCAGATGAGCCCTTTTAAACAATGTTTGGAACATGGCACTTTTATTTTACTCAAATCCTTTCAATGCTACTCACTTAGAGAAGGGACTCATAATTAAGAGTTCAGGTGAATCTGCACCCCTGAAATTGTAGGCAGCTTTGTGAATGCACTTTTAAAAGAATAATAATGCTGCCTATAATTATTATTTAAAATAAGAACAAACTTTTAACTACACAAACTAGGCAAAGCGGGGAGAAAGACATCTTTCTTATAAGTGCGTTCCTGGGAAAAGACAGGAGGAGTGGGTGAGTTGGGGGAAGGCGAATGACTGATCACAGCAGTAATTCTGCCCGTGGTGCTGCAAGCTAGGGTGGGGAGTCTGGAGCTCGGCAGACCTGCCAGGTGGGGCGGTGGGAGGTGACTTGGTGGAATTCTTGACTCATGCAGGAGTAGAGCAGGGCTCACCAGGGGAAAAGAGCTGTGGATTAGAGTCTCAGGAGGTGACGGTGGCATGTCCGTATCTCTAAAGGGAACCTAAGGCCATGGGGACACCAGCCTCTCAATTCTCCAGCTGGGGCTGTGACTGTGTGGCCTGGGCCAGTGGTGTCCTTGCATCAGAGTGGGCAGCAAACAGGGAAGACTCAGTGAGGGTGGTGGTCAGGCTCTGGGTCAGTGTCCTCTCGTGGACACTGTTGCACCAAGAGCAGAGGCCCAGGCCTGGGCACAAAGGAAAGGACCACTGTGTTTCTTCCTGAGGGCTTTAAGGTAGATAGTTGTGCTCTGGGCTCTGCCTCCTTTGCTTGGTGTCCAGGGTCTCAAACCAGAGGGGTCCATCAAACTTCCTTTTTCCTTTCTTTCATTGGCTGTGAGTCCTAGGTGCAGGGGTCAGGGTACTCTCGGGTTGGTGGACACCTATAAAAGCTCCCTCTGTGGTCAGGAGGAGCAATTTTCATGGTCACCGGGCTCCAGAGGCATTGAGGTGGCGGGCATTCCAAAGCCACTGCTTCACAATAATCTTCTGATTGCTGGATAAATCCAGCCCCATGAGGGTCTCACAGGGTGGTTGTCTGGGAAAGTATCTCCAAACTTCAGGCACCATTGCCTTTCAGAGTCTGGCATGGTCCCAGCCAGATGGTGTGGTGGGCATGGGCTGGGTCTGGACCCAGCACTTCAGGTGGGCATAGGAGGCGGAGCACTGTTCCCTCCCCTGCTGGCAGTGGGCGGGCCTGGGCTGTGGGACTAGCACATCCTGTGGAGGGACATAGTGTCGGTAGTGTGGCTTTGGCTCTGCTTCAGTACCAGGCCATGTAGCTTGCCCATGATCGTGGGTGTAGCAGGGCAGGAGGGTAGTCCAGGAACAATTGGGCTACCAGACATTTCTGATGTTTAGAGACTGGAATCGGGTAGGACTGAGTTGATCCTTAGTATCCTGGTGTTAGGACAGCGTGTGGGGCATTGGCCTATGGGGACCATCTGTGCACAGGGTCCTGCATGTGGTAGGCCACTGACCCAGCACACCGGGAACTTAGGAACTCCCCCCACTCTCTGAGGTCAGAGGAACCTGCAGCTTCCCACTGCTGGCCCCACGTGCTTGGGTCTCAGCAGAGGAGCCTAGGTGTGCCTTGACTTCTTATTCTTTTTTTTTTAATTATAAATAATTTTTTAATTTTTTGATTACGGTTGACATACAATATTATATTAGTTTCAGGTGTACATTCCAGTGATTAAACTTACTAAGTGATCATCCTGATAAATCTCACACCCATCTGGCAACACATATAGTCATTAGAACGCGATTGACTGTATTCCCCTTGCTGTGCTTTACATCCCCATGACTTCTCTAACTGCCAATTTGTTCTTCTTAACCCGTTCACCTTCTCTTACCAACCCTTGAACACCCCTCACATCTGGCAACTGTCAAAATGTTCTTCTCTGTATCTATGAGTCTGCTTGTTTAGTTATTTGTTTTTAGATTCAGTTGTTGATAGGTATGTATTTATTGCCATTCTATTTTTCATATTTTATATTATTTCTCCTTCTTCTCCTTCTGGTTCTGCTTCTTTAAGGAGGTCCTTGAACAATTCATGTAATACTGGTTTGGTGATGACGAACTTCTTTAGCTTTTTCTTGTCTGGGAAGCTCTTTATATGTCCTTCGATTCTAAATGCTAGCTTTGCTGCATAGAGTAATCCTGTAGGTCACTGTTTTCATTGCTTTGAATATTTCTTGCCTCTCCCTTCTAGCAAAGTTTCTGTTGAGAAATCAGCTGCCAGTTGTATGGAAGCTCCCTTGTAGGAAACTAACTTCTCTTCTCTTGCTGCTTTTAAGATTCTCTCTTTATCTTTAACCTTTTGCATTTTAATTATGATGTGTTTTGGTGTGGGCCTCTTTGGGTTCATCTCTGGGACTGTGCACTTTCTGGACTTGTATGTCTGTTTCCTTTATCAATTTAGGGAAGTTTTCTGTCACTATTTTTTCAAATAGGTTTTCAATTCCTTGCACTCTCTCAGCTGTGATGTGAATGTTGGTGCACTTGAAGTTGTCCCAGAGGCTCCTTACACTATCTTCATTTTTCAATTTTTTGTCTTTTTGCTGTTCTAATTGGGTATTTTTTTTTTGCTTTCCTATATTCCAACTTGTTGTTTTGATTATTGGCTTCATCTACTCTACTGTTGATTCCCTGTATATTATTCTTCATTTCAGCTGGTATATCCTTCATTTCATTTCTGACTAGTTCTTTTTTATGGTTTTCATGTTCTTTTTTATGTTGTTGAAGTTCTCTCTACATTCATCTAACTCTTCCCTTATGTTCATTGAGCATCCTTGTAAACAATGTTTTGAACTTTGCATCTAGTAGATTGCTTGTCTCCACTTTGTTAATTTCCTAGAGTTTTGTTCTTTTCTTTCATTTGGGGCATGTTTCTTTGTCTCCTCATTTTGGCAGCCTCCCCGTGTTTGTTTTCAGTAGAGTTGCTACATCTTCTTGGCTTGGTAGAGTGGC